AGAAAATTTCATTTTTATTTTATTTTATTTTTTAGATTAATGACAGCTATTTTGCAAATTATTTTAGTAATGTAAAATGTTTGCTGTGAATTATGTCAAAAGTTTTTTGTTGATCTTTTGTTATTCATAACAATTTACATGAACATTTTATGATATCAGATCTACTCTGTTAATTTAGTATTCTATTGCAGTACCATTTTGGATTTTGCCAACTTATTGTTGTTTGTGTTGTTAGTGGTGTATTATCATAGTTGAAATTACTAAGGAGACTCAATACATTCCTTTCAGATACGCCTTTGTGCAACTGATGACACTGCTCACACATGGCTGTTTTGGACGGCTGTGGAGGATGTGAATCGAGGCCATATCAAACCCACAGATCAATTGTATCAGTTAAAGGCATTGCAAGATGTTGCTCGAAAGGAGCAGTACCTCCAGGTCAGTATTTTTATTGATAAGTGAAGGATTAGGTACATCAGGTATGCCTCTGTAGACTGGAAAATTTTCCTCAATCTTTTTAGGTATATTGTAAGTCACAAATCCAGAAAATGAAAGTGAGTAATCTCGTACTTACTGTCCCGTGTCAGAGACTAGTTATTTTTATTTATTTATGTTTTTTTTGTTTTTTTTACTTAATAGACCTATTTAATTGTGTGATTATTAGAATGATGATAATTAGAATTATGAAAATTGATTTCATATGAAGGGCATCAAACATAATTGATTACAAAACACACTGTGTATACAGATTAGGATAAGCATATATTGCTGAACCTAATTGCTGTAAGTTTTCCTCATGCTCTACCAAGCCGTGCAGTGGCCCGCAGTCAGCCTCTGAGGGAAAAGGAAGATTATAGAAGACTTATTTAACCCACTGTCCATGTTTTTAACTGCAGTATATATATGATTTTTTTGAGGAAATAAGCTTATATAAAGACAAAGCCTACTTTTGAGGAGCTGTCTCGGTGACTACAGTCAGAGCCAAATCAGCACGTAACTGTTTAGTGCGTAGGTTAATGCCCCCAATAAGTCCTGTGATAGTGGACAATGTGGAACACCATATTGTATAACTATATGGGATACTGCAGTGTACTAGTATTGGTTACACTCCACTAGTTTTGCTGCATTGGGGAGCTATCATGTACTTCACTGTATAATTTTACGAATGGTATTAAATGAAAATTTGCATTAAATGAAAATATATACTACTAAAGAGATGTGCAGTACATGACTGGAATGGTTGAACTGATGTTATTCTTTTCACCATATTGAAAGGTTGTTTGGAATGTTTTTGATTAATTTATGATCAGCCAGAAAGGTGAACCAACCTCTTCATCACTTCTGAGCCATTATTCAGACACATAGGAGTAAGAGATATGGCAAAGCTCCTCACATCTCAGGTTACATTACAGATTTTTACAAATTCATGATGAAGTAGAAATTCACCTAGTTCTACCATGTCAGGGATGTTCAACCTTGGTGTGCAGGTTACTGGCAAGAGGATTATCTGTCCTAATGTAGGAGCTTGATATTTTGCATTTTTTTTTTCCATCACAATCTTCTGGTTTGAGTGAATCAACCAAGAAGGCTGCTACGAGAACCAGGCATAGCTGTATAAGCTGCTTTTCCATTTTCCAAGGTCTTTTTTTTGATAAATGGTATGATGAATTAAGATTGACTGTTTTTGTTGAAAAGAATCCATATTATCTCTATGTAGTCTACAACTCTAATGATAATGAATGACAATATTTTATTTGTTGTTTTTTACATCTTCATAATATTAAAGTTTCTGTAACACCTCCTGCACTGCCAGTTGGGCAAGAATAGGTTACAGTGCATGGAGATAGTGTTCTAGCTTGAGTCGGTGCTCTTCCAAGTATGGCTAAGAGATTGGACCTTCTTCACTCACTTATCAATGGAAATAATGTAATCCTAAAGGCCCACAGAGTCTAATCTCCCTCCATCTCCAGTACCTGTCACTTGTCAGCAGTACCTCATGACATTCCTGTTCAGCAAAATTTTTCCATGACATATTCCCATTACCTGCTACTCAGTCAAATTTTTTTATGACCTGGCATTACTGTCACCTGGATCCAACGGGTTAAGGATGTAACAGTGGATGCCAAACTTCTTTTTTTTTCAGTCTTTTGAAAACCACAGATTTAGATTAAACTTTCTTTTATAGGTTGTCCGTGGATGTGAAGGCTATGGTGATATAGTGTTTCCTCATTGCCCATGTGACTCTAGGAAGAAGGGACATGTTGTTGCCTATGTGGGTTATAAGTCATTTAGGTTACAAGCTTGTAAAGAGGATGGTACATTACAGGTTAGTAGTATCTTTGATATATGATTGTTGATAGAGGATGTAAGAAACATAATGAGAGCTGTCATGTTTATTGAAGAGGAGTTTAGTCTAGTTCATTGAGTTTTGCAGCAATACTGAAAGCCCTCTTTTCTTTTACATCCAAATTAAGATAACATGCACCTTCTCATTTCATTGTTTTATAAGTCGTATCATTTAATTTTATTTGTTTGTAAGAAACTTGATAATGCTTTTGTGAAATTTGCAAATCATGGAACTTATCCAATCTTAATAATGCATGCTCATATGTAGCAATTAATGACTCCTGGTTAGCTCTAGAAAACATTTCTGAGTATAAAACTATTTTGAAAGTTTATCTTTCCTGCATTACAGTTCTCCCATGCAGAAAAAAACAAGATAGATTATATTATATTTAAGAACCAGGAATGAGAATAAGATACTGGATTCTGTGTACCTTATTTTAAACCCTTATGTTTTACAGACACAAGTAATTGACTTTGCCTGGTCAACGATTGAGAAGTTTGAAATAGATGATGAGGGCATGGCCTTCTGTTTCCTCTATCGGCAAACTGAAGACCTTATCAGATGGGTGAAAATATTCACTCCCTATGTAAGTTGAAATTGATGATTTATTCTTTTGGGTGTGGGTGTGTTAATATTTATGTCTGTCCTCTGTTAGTTTACCTGTATTTCAAATTGTCTGTGTAATTTAATCTTTTCATTCTGTCAACACTTAAGATCTGATTTATATTTGGATATGACAAGAGAAAATCCAGAACTCTTGAACAATGATTTTTGTTACATTTTTTTCTTGCAGTACCACTTCATGGATGAATGCTTTCAACGAATCCAGGAAGAACAACAGTGGACGTAGGTAGCTGGAAGCGGCATTTGACTTAGGAAATTGTTGAAATTTAAGGTGGAATATATCTGATTGTAGATATTGTGAAATAAAGAGTTCTGTTTTGAAAGAACAGAAGTAAAAGAAGAAGAGATCATTATAGGATTATACATTGGGTTGTATTTCTGCTGGTCATTCCATTGTGAATCATTTTTTATTATTATTGTAATTAGTTATTGTTGTAATTATTATTATTAGTATTGTCTTTATTATTATTGCTATTATTATTATTATTATTATCATTATTATTATTATTGTTATTATTATCATTATTTGATTATCATTATCATTATTGTTATAATTGATACATTATAGGAGGTACTAATTTGATGAGGTATAAAATTGAAGGATTTCAGTTACCCAAATTAGAAAAGGTACGTAAGTACTCGCCCCCCTCCCCTCCCCCATAAAAAGAAAAATGAGGAAAATCCAGAAGGAAAAATTGATATTACTTTTAACTTGATGTCATGGAAATACATGTATGTTATGCAAGGAAAGAGAAGAGATATATATTTAGAGTAACTTAACAACGCAGTCCAAAGAACCATTGTTAGATCTGTACACTGTAGGTTGTTAGAACCTCTCTTGAGTATGCTAACAGAATGGATGTATGACATTACCTATCCACTAGCTGTGTAATAGGAAGCTGTTCTGCCAGGCACTATACATAAATGTTTTAGCTATGTATGAAGATTATCAAATAACATTGATTTCTCATGTTTTTAGGTGTTTTTAAGATATATTATTGAGTGATAATTTGTGCTCAAGTCTAATATTGTCTATTTTCCAATGAAAACTGGTCAATATGACATGTACAATATCACAGAGACTTGTGAAGTGTATCTGTGAACACTTAAGGAAATGAAAAAAAGGATATTTCCTAGGGAGAAAGTATGCATGCTGTGTGTTTACCTTTGGTTCTTAATTGAGGTATGTATTAATCTTGTGTTGTTCATTTACTGGTTTCTTGTCTACAGACATGCTACTATTGATACATATATGTATATAATTTTTCTTCATCTTCATTTAAATTTTTTTTTTTTTTTAATGATCAGTTGAGTAGAAATAATCACTGATTGATTTACAAAGATGTATGATACTGTAGCGGTATGATTTTTGATGTGATATTAATTATTGGTTGATTTAGTACTTTATTGACTCTGCTAAGGAGTCTTTAGATTACGTAAAACAATTTGAAGGTACTCATATGTTACGAGGAGTTATGTCACCAAAGCAGTCTGCCATGAATAATTTCGAACACACTCCAGGAATAGCATAGTGCTGATAGGATCTACCTGCATCTTGCTTAATAGCCTTGGGTTTACATGGAGAAAAAAAGGAAGAAATTATTTATTCTGTGCCCTTTCATTCTCGTTCTATATATACACAAGGCTTTGAAAATGAACATTGTTCCACTGTTTTGTCACTGATTCATGTGTTAGTGCTAGTTTATTTTTATAGAATTTTTGTTCACTGAATGCCAGTGTAGATGTGATACAGATAGCTCTATTAGACCTTTTTAAGTTGCATTCATGTGTAGAATTATTGGTCTACAGTATTATAATTATCTAAAATAGGGTCACCATGTAATACTTACTTAAACTAGGGTCATCATATTTGTTGTTTATGTTATTACTTTTATTTATTATTATTATTATTATTATTATTATTATTATTATTATTATTATTATGATTATATTCTTTTGATATAATATTCTTATTATTGTATTTGGTAGACAGTTACATATAGGTTGAATCCATTTTCATTTCACTTTC